TAGAATTCACTGAAAAAAAATTTAATACATTATCATTTTTGTCTTGCCTCAACAAAGTAATAAAAGCGAGACTTAGGTGTGCTGTTTCCGGCAGTGGTGTAGGCGACAGCAGCAGCATCAACAATGTATTAGTTTGTGATTAGGTTATATTATGGGGAACCACTAGTGGTAGGTCAATGATTTTTAATATGCAGTTGTATTAGCATTGGCACATCTCATTTCCAGGGAGATTACTTGACTTCACCCCCATGGTCTATTGGCTTTGAAACCTTTGCTTAGTTTACATGTATTATTTGTGATTAAGTCAGTTTTAAGGGGAACCACTAGTGGTAGGTCAATGATATTTATTATGCAGATGTATTAGCATTGGCTCATCTCATTTCCATGGAGAAAATTTTGCTCCGTCCTCTCAGTCATTTTCTATTGACTTTGAAACTTTTGCTTATTTTACACTTATTAGTTAGTGAATATTTCAGTTTAAGATGAATCACTTATGTTAAGTCAATGATATTTGATATGAAGTTGTGTAAGCATTTACAAGTCTCATTTCAATGGAGATTATTTGGCCCCTCCTTCAGCATGGTTCATTGACTTTGAAACTTTTACAAGTTCAAGTTTTTATACGACCGCAAAAAATTTTGCGGTCGTAAACTGGTATCACGTCGACATCGTCAGCGTCGTCCGAAGACATATGGTTTCTGGACAATAACTTTAGTATAAGTGAATACAAATCTATGAAATTTAAACACAAGGTTTATACCCACAAAAGGAAGGTTGGGATTGATTTCGGGGTTTATGGTCCCAACAGTTTAGGAATTAAGGGCCAAAAAAGGGCCCAAATAAGCATTTTTCTAGTTTCCAGACAATAACTTGTGGAACGGTGTATGGATCTCTCTGAAATTATACCACAAGTTTCCATACCACAAAGGGTGGTTAGGATTAGCTTTGGGGGGTTATGGCTCAAACCGTTTAGGAATTAGTGGCAAAAAAAGGGGAAAAACAAGGGTTTCTTGGTTCATAATGTTTGAATTACCTCCCTTACACTGCTTTTGAATTATGTATAAAGAAATGGTGTATTGTCTTGAGGTGATTAGCTGTCAATTTATTTTTAGAAGTTACTATTAAAAATGCTGATTAAGATATATTATAGATTATGTATGTCATTTTCTATTTTAAGACTTTTATGATGTATTTAAATGGGTAATTATGGTTGCAAACTCCATTGGAAATATGAATTGAGATTATGACCATATCTTGAGGGGAAGAATTTTTTTTGGGAAAAGGGGGGGGGGGGGGGGGTGAAAAAGATGCGGGGAGGGGGGTAAAAAAGAAATTGTGGGGTGGGGGGACAATCTTTTCTCCTCAAGATTTCAGAAATTAAAAAGAAAATTTCTTCAAATATTTTTTTTTTTTGCCAAAAAAAAGGGGGGGGGGGGGGTGTAAAATTATTTATTTTTCTTTTTTTTTTGGGGGGGGGGGGGTGAAAAAAAATGTTAAGCTGGTAATTTTCCCCCAAAATTGTACCGATTGAACGCTCGGTTTTACTTCTTTAGCTTGCTCTTACCTGACTTGGTACCATGATGTCCAAGGTAACCAGTCGACAAATTATATAATCCGGAGTCAAAAGTCGGTAATATGAAAATAGTCTATTGCACAAAAGCAAAAAATTAATTATAAATTCAAATCATATAACCAATTCTAAGTTCTTTGACTACAGTTATTCTGTGTCAGAAACCTATTATGTGTCAAATATTTAATTACAATCCAAATTCAGACCTGTATCAAGCGTGAATATTGTGTCCATTTTTGCCCCAACTGTTCAGGGTTGGACCTCTGCGGTCGTATCCAGCTGGGCTCGGCGAAGCAATTTATTGTTTAGGTTAGTTTAAAGGGAACCCCTTATGATAAGTCAATGGTAACAATTCAGTGGTATTCGGTATGCAGTATTACAAAATGTATAAGCATTGGCATTTCTCATTTCCATGAAATATTTTTAATCTACTACTATATTGTTTGGATGAGTATGTATGTGCTTAAATACCCTTTTAACTCATTTGAATGCATGTTTTATGTATTCAGTTTATATAATTAAGAATTTCAAATTCATGTCAACATCTCATGGGGGAAATCCCCCAAAAATCGTGCACCTTCAGTCATGGTTCATTGACTTTGAATGGTTTGCATAGTTTACATGTTTACATATTTTCATTTAGATTCAACATTTGCATTATACTATCAAAATTAAAAATTGCAAAACATATCTCTCTGTCAACAGTTTAATTTTAAACTAACCCATATCTAAAATTTGTACAGTAAAGGGCCTAATATAAATAAACTTGTCTGAATTTTGTAGAACAATCATCAGAGAGGAATCTTAAGACTGAACAAAGATCCTAAGCTGTGTTATTATACCAGTCAATGGATGGGTCAAACTAGTTTACTACACTGATAATTAAGCAATCTTTAATGCAGTGCAATAACACAAAACAGCTTCCTATTGGAAATTAAATTAGTAAACTTAGATTATCTTTTAAATTTTGGTATGCCCTTGTGACTTAAAGTCTGGGTCATATACAGTGGTGCTCATCTCTGTCATTCTGAAATTAAACAGTGGTGATGACAGTTATTTTGTTTGGCTTCAGATATGGAGGTGATTTTGACACATGAGGGTGAAATGATGACTTGTATCAATTGAGTTTGCCCTTAGATCTGGTTGATTGACTCTTTGTGGAATAGCTGCCCTGGGATTTGGAAATCTACAATGAAATTGTATTTGTCTAAAAGTTGAAGGCAAAAAGGGACTTATTTGTCTCTTGGCTTGTCTTTCTAAGTTTACATCCATGGAGTGAACATTTCCAATTAATAATCTTCATTCTTTTCATCCAGTATAATATACTCTTCATGTTTAGTAGTATATAATCTTGTCTAAATTACTGGTAGAATATGGTTTGTTCCTAACTGACATAACTTGATTACAATCATCCACAAAATTTGAATTGTAATAAATGCTAATATAAAAATAAGGAGATATGGTATGATTGCCAATGAGACAACTATCCACCAAATTAAAATGAAGTGGATGTAAGCAATTATAGGCAACCGTACGGCCTTCAACTATGAGAAAACCCATACCCTAGATGTATACAAAGAAAAACATCAAAGAAAAACACAGACAGGACGTGGCAGGGTATATATCTATCCCTCATCTCTAACAACAAAAAAGACACTAAGTACAGATCTGAGAGTACTTGCAGTTACTGACAGCTAGTTCAAAGCCAATAACAACTAATTAAAAAAATCATGTATCTAAGACTAAGTATCAATCAGTACACATCCAACATCCAATGGATTTCGTGTAAAGACGTCATTAACAGTCAGAGAAAAACATGACCTTGTGCAATGCCAAAATATAGGTATCAACAGATTGAAGTACCGTTAAAGTACATATGTGGAATATTTAGTATGGTTTTAATTTACTGATAACAAAATCAATATTATACCAATAATAACAATATTCAAAGATTTAATTACAGTGTTGAATAGGTAACCTTTTAGAATAAAATTTATTAAAAGGATTGATTAGTTTATCCGGATTGTATCTTAATTTCCGGGCTCGGTTAACAACATCCATTTGAAATAAGTTTTCTGCAGGTACAGCAAAATGTGCAAACCAAATCTTTGTATCTATGGAAGAATTTAGTAAAGGTTTTAAGTAATTTGTGGTGAGGAAATCCCTGACTTAATAATTTACTAGTAATACATAGATTACGCTCATTGAAATCCAAAACGTCACTACAGACACGAGCATAGCGAACAAGCTTGGATATATAAACACCATAAGAGGGTGCCAAAGGAACATCACTGTCCAAAAAAGGAAAATTATCAATAGGGAAAGAAAAATCATCCCTTTTGTCGTAAATTTTTATGAAGTCTCAGTTTCTAGTGTAATACTGAAATATCTAAATCTAGGAAAGGACAGTTATTGCTGTTAATATTTGATTTATTTAAAGTAAGTTCCTTTGGATAAATTTCAGCAGTATATTTAGAGAATTCTTGATTATTTAATGAAAAAATATCATCAAGATAACGGTAAGTGTTGTTGAATTTATCAATTAAATGGAATTTAGACGGTTCTTTAGTACTGAGTTTGGCCATAAACTGTGATTCATAACAGTTTAGGAACAAGTCTGCTATTAAAGGGTCCCAATTTGTGCCCATAGAAATACCTACAACCTGTCGATAAACTTTATTGCAGAAACATACATAAATGTTGTCAAGGAGAAAATTTAGGGCTTTAATCATCTCATCACACCTCCAGTAAGTATATCTACCATATTTACCTTTCTCATTGGAGAAAAAGGATTTATTTGAGTTGCAGCAAATAAATGTGCAACCATTTAATTAGATAGGAAATCTTTTGTTTGATAAGATTGTGTGGAAGTATAGTATAAAGAGTGGAAAAGTCAAAACTGTCAACCGAATCAAAAGGACCATCAAAAAGTTCTTTGATAGTAGTTAAGGAACTCGTTAAAAGCACCGAAAGATTAGTAGTAGAACACTTACTAGAGGCCGAGATGAAACGATATTTTACGGGTTTTATGTGTAGTTTAGGTAACCAATACATAGATGTTCACATATTGAATTGAATGTTAATGTTCACTTATTGAATTGTAATGAATGCCTATGTTCATATATTAAATCCCTTGGCTTTGTTGTTATGTATTTTGCTGTCCGTATTCTGCTATTAAATGAGAGTTTTGATGCAATTTAGGCTCCTTATGGGATCTGTAGTGGGTAAGTTTGTAATTTTTAGAAATATTTTGGTGGAATTTTGCCATTTGATTAGGGACTTTCCTTTTTGAATTTTCCTCGGAGTTCAGTATTTTTGTGATTTTACTTTTTATCCTATAATATTTACAAACCTGCACACCACTGCAAAAGGACCTTAGGAGAGGGTAACTAAAAAAGAAAATATAAAGATATATTTCTTTTCATTACAGGTTATGTTGATACTGTGATGACTGAACCAGGTTTACCTCAGAATCAAATGAAGGATTTGACATGTTCTAATGCAGAAATGATTGGAAAACCTTCTACATTTCCAACTCCAAGAGAATGTGTTAAAGCACCAGCCAAGAAACCACAGCCAGCAAGAGGAGAAACAACTGCTAGTGCATTAGATAAATCAGTAATTAATTTAAAAGTTTTATAACATTTTTGAAGATATAAAGACCAGGTTTTAGATTCACAAAAACTTGATCATAATTCATGAAGATTTCAGTATAGGTACAATCAATTGTAGTCATAAGATATTTTGTGAACACACACTTTTTAGGTCACTTATATATATCTTGAAATCAATTTTAAACATCTAAATGGACAAAAATGCTCAGACTATCAAAATCTACCTACTTTTCCATTCCACCAAATTATTAAATAACTCCTTATAATTTAGGAATTATTGTTAATAAATAATGAATTTTGTCTTGTCTAGATGAAGTTACAGAATACAACATAAGAATACTAATTTGGATGGTGTCTGTGTAATATATTTGTATAAAGCTTTATATTTCTAAAGTGAGAAGTGAGAAGTCATTTATATCTCATACCTTGTATGCAGATGCCTGGTGTTTCTGAAGTTTCTGTCTGGCATATGTTCTTTGTCCTTACCCATATTTCAATTGTTCATCCACTGCTTAAAAAACTGTGCAGTGTTTTTTATCACATGATTTTATCTCTTGGTAATGAGTAATAGGATAGCTATATTCAGTATATTGAATCATTGTGTGGTTTACATATCCCACAGACAGAGTTCACCTGACCTTGATCTCAATCAAAGTCGTGACACACAGTTCCACAGAACTTTTCAGAAACTGTTTGGACTATGTTCTTTCTTTGTCCCAATCTTATGATGTTTTATATATCCCAACTGGTTCACTTAGCCCATGTTTGTATTGATCTTATAAATATTTCAATCAACATAATCTTTGTATCACATATGCATCACTGTGATTTGATTTGGAAGTTTGGCTGTACAGGAGAAAACTTATTTCAAACAGGATATCACATCCTAAATTTTACGGTGATGTTGTTTATAGAGCCTGTAAATTTAGATGAGATCTGTGTAAACTTTTCAATCCTTTAAATAGACTTATTTTTAAAAGGTTATCAATTTAACACTGTAATATGAATTTTGAATAGTTTTTATTGTTACAAAGATTGATTTTATTATCTATAATTTAAAAAGTAATTAGATATTGTAAACCGTTATGAAAATTTACAGTCCTACATTCTATCAATACTTTTATTTTGGCAGTGACCAAGATCATGTTTTTCTCTGTCTGTTATGACATATTCATCCTAAATCCATTTGATGTGTACTGATTGATATTCAAGTCTTGGATATATGATTTTATTGTCTCACCTGCGACAAAAGTCGCAGTATGCAAGACATAGGTATTACTACCCTGCGACGGCTGCGGTGTAAACTATTTGTATAAAGCTTTATATTTCAGAAGGTAGAAGACCTGTATGCTTCATATTTTGTATGCAGATACCTTATGTTACAAGGTTTCTGTCAATCATATGTCCATTGTCCTTGACCTCATTTTCATGGTTCAGCGACTGCTTGTAAAAAAAAATTGAGTTTTTTTGTCATGTGAATTTCTCACTTATTATGAGTAATAGGATAACTATATTTGGTATATGGGTTCCTTGCAACTGCTACATGTCCGTCAGACAGAGTTCACCTGACCTCGACCTCATTTTCATGGATCAGTGATCAAGGTTAAAGTTACGTGATTAGGTCTGTTTCTCAAATACTATAAGCTGTAGGTTAGCTATATTTGGTGTATGGAATGATTGTAATGGGTACATGTCAGTCTGGCAGGTTTCACCTTACCTTGACCTCATTTTCATGGTTCATTGGTGGTCAATGTTAAGTTTTTGTGTTTTGATCTGTTTTTCAAGTACTATAAGCAATAGGTCAAATTTATCTGGTGTATGGAATGATTGTAAGGTGTACATGCCTGTCTGGAAGGTATCATCTGACCTTGACCTCATTTTTATGGTTCAATGGTCAATGTTAAGTTTTCGTGTTTCGGTCTGTATTTCAAATACTAATAGCAATAGGTCAGCTATATTTGGTGTATGGAATATTTATAACTTGTAAGGAGCACATGTCTGTCTGGCAGGTATCATCTGACCTTGACCTCATATTTATGGTTCATTGGATAATGTTATGTTTTTATACGACCGCAAAAAAATTCTTCGTCGTCCGAAGACACATTGGTTTTCGCACTCTAACTTTTGTTTAAGTGAATGGATCTCTATGAAATTTTACCATAAGGTTCAATACCACAAAAGGAAGGTGGGGATTGATTTTGGGGGTTATGGTACCAACAGTTAAGGAATTAGGGGCCAAAAATAAGCATATTAGTAACTTCGAGACATAACTTGTGTGTTAGTGTATGGATCTCTCTGACATTGTACCACAAGGTTCCATATCACAAAGGGAATGTGGGATTGATTTTGGGGGTAATTGCCTCCAAATTTTAGGAATTAGGGGCCAAAATGGGGCAAAAAACAAGCATTTTTCTAGTTTCATGACAATAACTTGTGTGTAAGTGTATGGATCTCTCTGACATTGTACCACAAGGTTCCATATCACAAAAAGAATGCTGGGATTGATTTTGGGGGAAATTGCCTCAAAACTTTAGGAATAAGGGGCAAAAAAGAGGCAAAAAACAAGCATTTTTCTAGTTTCATGACAATAACTTGGTGTAAGTGTATGGATCTTTATCAAATTGTACTACAAGGTTCCATATCACAAAGGGAATGCTGGAATTGAGTTTGGGGGTAATTGCCCAAAATGTTTAAGAATAAGGGGCCAAAAATAAGCATTTTTCTAGTTTCCAGACAATAACTTGTGTTCAAGTGTATGGATCTCTCTGAAATTGTACTGCAAGGTACCATACCACAAAGGGAAGGCTGGGATTGATTTTGGGGGTAATTCCCTCAAAATTTGAGTAATTAGGGGCCATAAAGGGGCAAAAAAACAAGCATTTTTCTAGTTTCAGGACAATAACTTGTGTGTAAGTGTATGGATCTCTATGAAATTGTACTGCAAGGTTCCATATCACAAAGGGAAAGCTGGGTTTGAGTTTGGGGGTAATTGCCCTAAACGTTTAGGAATTTGGGGCCAAAAAGGGGCCAAAAAAAAAGCATTTTTCTAGTTTCCAGACAATAACTTGTGTTCAAGTGTATGGATCTCACTGAAATTGTACTGCAAGGTACCATACCACAAAGGGAAGGCTGGGATTGAGTTTTGGGGTGATGAATCATAAGGGGTTCAAAAAATTTGGGGGGGGGATTTTTTTTCCTTTGTTTTCTCTAAAATTTTCCCATTTTAAATTGGTTATTTCTGATTTATATATAAGAGCAAATAATAATGATATGGTTTGAATAGGTAAATTAAAAAAATTTAAGTTCTTAGACCACATTCATTCTGTGTCAGAAACCTATGCTGTGTCAAATATTTAATTACAATCCAAATTCAGTGCTGTATCAAGCTTGAATGTTGTGTCCATACTTGCCCCAACTGTTCAGGGTTCGACCTCTGCGGTCGTATCAAGCTGCGCCCCAGTGGAGCATTTTATTGTGTTTTGGTCTGTTTTTCAATTAGCTTACACAATAGGTGAACTATATTTGGTGTATAAAAAAGTTGTAAGGTGTGTATGTCTGTCTGACACAATTTATCTGAAATAGACCTCATTGTCATAGATTTTTCAAAATTTCAAGTTTCTGAAATGCTTTTAGTAAAACCTTTATCTTTAAGACTTTCAACATAAAATCAATTGTCAGTAAAGCAGGCAAGACATTTCAGGGTATGCACTCTTGTTATAAGTTATTATGGGATTTACCTTTCAATAACTGCAAGTACTCTCAAGTCAGCACTGGTATGACGTTCGCGTCGTCGTCGTTGTCCGAAGACACATTGGTTTTCGCACTCTAACTTTAGTTTAAGTGAATGGATCTTTTTGAAATTTGACCATAAGGTTAAATACCACAAAAGGAAGGTTGGGATTGATTTTGGGGGTTATGGTACCAACAGTTAAGGAATTAGGGGCCAAAAAGGGGCCAAAAATAAGCATTTTCTAGTTTCCAGACAATAACTGTGGAATGGTGTATGGATCTCTCTGAAATTATACTACAAGTTTCCATACCACAAAGGGATGGTTAGGATTTGCTTTGGGGGGTTATGGCTCAAACCGTTTAGGAATTAGGGGCAAAAAAGGGGGAAAAACAGGGTTGTCCTGGTTAATGGACAAATACTTTAGTACAAAACATAATTTAAAGCAGTGTAAGGGAGATAAATCAAATACATCATTGAAATTATCTCCCTTACACTGCTTTTAAATTATGTATAAAGTAATGGTTAATGAACAATAAAGATAATTTAAAACAGTGTAAGGGAGGTAATCCAAATACAACGTTTTGGTTACTTCCCTTACACTGCTTTTAAATTATGTTTAAAGAAATGCATATTTATAAAGGAAGACCAGTAAAAATATCTGCAAATGTTGCATCTTTTTTTTTTACAAAAAAATCCATATGAAAGATTTGACACTTTATTTTTAATTCTATTATAAAATAGATTAAGTTAGCACTATGGTAAATTTAAATGGGTAATTATGGTTGCCAACTCCATTGGAAATTTGAATTGAGATTATGACCATATCTTGAGGGAAAGAACTTTTTTGGGGAAAAAAGGGGGGGAGATAAAAAGAAATTGTGGGGGGTCAATTTTTTCTCATTTCAGATTTCAGAAATTAAAAAGAATTATTCTTCAAAAAATTTTTTTTTTCAAATTTCAAATATTGAAAAATTTCAAGAAGTCTTTAATTGCACAGTATGGCGCATTAGATTTGTAAAATCTTTGATCACATTTATTTATTTGTTATGCCGAATCTAACAGTGTATTAAGATTTTTAATTTTGGGTCCAGATTTCAAATTGGTCTACATTAAGGTCCAAAGGGTCCAAAATTAAACTTTGTTTGACTTTAGCAAAAATTGAATATATGAGGTTCTTTGATATGCTGAATCTAAACATGTATTTAGATTTTTGATTTTTGGCCCAGTTTTCAAGTTGGTCCAAATTGGGGTCCAAAATTAAACTTTGTTTGATTTCAACAAAAATTGAATATATGGGGTTCTTTGATATGCTGAATCTAACCATGTATTTAGATTTTTTATTTGTGGACCCCGTTATCAAATTGGTTCATATTGAGGTCAAAAGGGTCCAAAATTAAACTTTGTTTGATTTCATCAAAAATTGAATTATTGGGGTTCTTTGATATTCCAAATCTAACCGTGTATTTAGATTTTTAATTTTGGGTCCTGTTTTTTAAATTGGTCTACATTAAGGTCCAAAGGGTCCCAAACGAAACTTAGTTTGATTTTAACAATAATTGAATTCTTGGGGTTCTTTGATATGCTGAATCTAAACATGTGTTTAGATTTTTGATTATGGGCCCAGTTTTCAAGTTGGTCCAAGATAGGGTCCAGTATTTAAACTTTGTTTGATTTCAACAAAAATTGAATATATGGGGTTCTTTGATATGCTGAATCTAAACATGTATTTAGATTTTTGATTTTGGGCCCAGTTTTCAAGTTGGTCCAAATTGGGGTCCAAAATTAAACTTTGTTTGATTTCAACAAAAATTGAATATATGAGGTTCTTTGATATGCTGAATCTAACCATGTATTTAGATTTTCTATTTGTAGGCCCTGCTTTCAAATTGGTTCATATTGAGGTCAAAAGGGTCCAAAATTAAACTTTGTTTGATTTCATCAAAAATTGAATTATTGGGGTTCTTTGATATGCCGAATCTAACCGTGTTTTTAGATTTTTAATTTGGGTCCCGTTTTTTAAATTGGTCTTCACTGAGGTCCAAAGGGTCCAAAATTAAACTTAGTTTGATTTTAACAAAAATTGAATTCTTGGGGTTCTTTGATATGCTGAATCTAAACATGTGTTTAGATTTTTGATTATGGGCCCAGTTTTCAAGTTTGTCCAAGTTGGGGTCCAAAATTAAACTTTTTTTGATTTCAACAAAAATTGAATATATGGGGTTCTTTGATATGCTGAATCTAACCATGAATTTAGATTTTTTATTTGTGGGCCCCGCTATGAAATGGGTTCATATTGAGGTCAAAAGGGTCCAAAATTAAACTTTGTTTGATTTCATCAAAAATTGAATTATTGGGGTTCTTTGATATTCCAAATCTAACCGTGTATTTAGATTTTTAATTTTAAGTCCCGTTTTTTTAAATTGGTCTACATTAAGGTCCAAAGGGTCCAAAATTAAACTTAGTTTGATTTTAGCAAAAATTGAATTCTTGGGGTTCTTTGATATGCTGAATCTAAACATGTGTTTAGATTTTTGATTATGGGCCCAGTTTTCAAGTTTGTCCAAGTTGGGGTCCAAAATTAAACTTTGTTTGATTTTAACAAAAATTGAATATTGATATGCTGAATCTAACCATGTATTTTGATTTTTTGGACATTGGACCATAATAGGTAAATTAAAAAAATTTAAGTTCTTAGACCACATTCTTTCTGTGTCAGAAACCTATGCTGTGTCAAATATTTAATAATCCAAATTCAGAGCTGTATCAAGCTTGAATGTTGTGTCCATATTTGCCCCAACTGTTCAGGATTCGACCTCTGCGGTCGTATCAAGCTGCGCCCCAGCGAAGCATTTTATTGTTAGTTGTTTTTTGTGTGCTTTGTCTCTATCTGATGAATCAAGCCTTTTTCAACTGAGTTTAATAAATAAGTCAACATGACTGAAATGGTCTATTGATTGTTTATAGGTAATATTGCCCTAGAAGGCTGATTTTTACTCTTTTTTGGCTTATTTTACAGAACTTGGTCTTCCATCACTGTTTTGGATACCTAAACTACATAAGTGTCCTTACAAACAACATTATATTGCTGGGTCTTCTAAGTGCTCCACAAAACCTCTTTCTAAATTACTTACATCAATTTTATCAGCAATCAAAGCCGGGCTTCAAAGTTATTATGAAAATACCTATTCTAGTGGTTGCGTGAATCAGATGTGGATACTAAAAAATTCCAAAGATCTTTTAGAGTACATACAATCTAAGACTCTTTCATCTTGCAATAGTATTAAAACATTTGACTTTTCTACACTTTACACAAGTATTTCCCATTCCAAACTAAAAGACAAATTGAAAGAGTTGGTCCTGCTTTGTTTCATAAAAAAGAATGGCCAACGTAGATACAAATATCTTGTCTTAGGGTGATTCAAACAAAAAATTCTCTGAAATTGACATCAAGATGCTTGATTTCTTGATTGACAACATATTTGTTACGTTTGGAGGACATATTTTTCAACAAACAATCGGCATTCCCATGGGAACCAACTGTGCCCCTCTTCTTGCTGACTTGTTCCTTTATTTATATGAGGCTGACTTCATACAGGAACTTCTTAGGAAGAAAGAAAAGAAGTTAGCAGTATCCTTTTACTTTACTTTCTGCTATATAGATGATGTTCTCTCACTAAATAATTCAAAATTTGGTGACTATGTTGAACGCATCTATCCCATCAAACTTGAGATAAAGGATACAACAGATACAGTTAAGTCTTCCTCATGACTTGACTTGCATCTAGAATTGACAAAAAGGGTCGGTTGAAAACAAAACTTTACGACAAAAGAGATGATTTCAGCTTCCCAATTGTGAACTTTCCATTTCTATATAGCAACATTCCAGCAGCGCCTGCATACGGAATATATATATCTCCCAGTTGATACGATATTCCAGGGCTTGTTATGCTATCATGATTTCCTTGATAGAGGGCTGCTGCTCACAAAGAAGCTATTAAACCAAGAGTTCCAAGTGGTGAAGTTGAAATCATCCCTTCGTAAATTTTACGGACGCCATCACGAGTTGGTTGACCGTTATGGAATATCCGTTTCACAGATGATAGTGGATATTGTTCCAAATGTTGTAACTACAATCCCGTCCCCTTTTCCACGAATGTGACCTACCGAATTAGACTTATTACTGGGTTTGTACTAACATGAGCAACATGACGAGTGCCACATGTGGAGCAGGATCTGCTTACCCTTCTGGAGCACATGAGATCACCCCCAGTTTTTGGTGGGGTTCGTGTTGCTCTGTCTTTTCTATGTTGTGTTTTGTGTACTATTGTTTGTCTGTTGGTCTTTTTCTTTTTTTGGCCATGGCATTGTCAGTCTATTTTCGACTTATGAGTTTGAATGTCCTTTGGTACCTTTCGCCTCTCTTTTATAGAAGATATATAGTAAAAAAAGAAATATTGTAAGCATCTAAAATGTTCAGCACAATATGATCTAAAATGATCAACATAACCAAAGTCAGCAAATTATTCCTTATAGGAGTTATTGTCCTGAAAGGAGAATTTTTTCACTTTTTTTGTGTGGAAACTATAGTGGATAGAAACTTTTTAAAAATAGTAATAAAATGATCAGCAGAATAAGATCTTCAAATCAGTCTAAATGGCAGAAATAGTAAACTGACTTCTTTTATGAAATTATTGTCCTTGTAAGACAACTTGTAAGTTTTACTCAATTATATGCTTTTTTTGCAGAAACTTCACAAAAAGTCACAGTTTTAACCCATTTTATTTTTTCCAACCAAATTAACAGCAAGACAGATTTTGGTCCACATAGTTTTCATTCAACACACATAATCTTGTTGCATTGTACACAATATGTATCAATGTATTTTTGCAAAATTGCTAGGTGAACAATACAGACTCCTGACAGCTTCTTGTTTTAATTTTAAGCAATATTATAAGGCATATTCCAACCTCCCCCTTACCTGGCAGATTAGCCTGGGTCAGGGGAATCCTTGCCTTATCTTTTTTACATGGATGCTCCATAAAGGGTTTTTCTGTGTATTTGGGATCTCAAGAAAGTATTGAGTATTCAACCCAGATCAATGAAACCTCACAGAATGATTGGACACATGTTGGAGTTGTGCACCAGCTATTATGGAATTGTTTGAAGAATTTTTTACTCATTTTTCAAGACTTGGTAACTTAGTAATTTTTCAGTAATATATTTACAACAAAAGATGTAAGCACTTTTGTTGTATAATAAATTTTCCTACAGTTTTCAACCAAGATCGCTTAAACATTACAGAAAGATTGTAAGCAAAGTAACAAAAGAAGGTAACACTATTTTGTGTAATCAACTTCTACTACAGTTATCAACCAGATCCCGAAGTCATCACAGAATGGTCATATATATATAGCAGTTTTGCATCACCTTTTATGGAATTGTTTGAATTGACGAATTTTTTCCAGAAATCAGAACTTAGTCATTTCTTTAGCAAAATTTTCAATAGATGGTAACAATTTTTTTTTAAGGCAGATTTTGAGAACTGCACAGAAAGTTAGCAAAGCTCACAGAATGATTGGACACATTTTGGAGTTGTGCACCAGCTATTATGGAATTGTTTGAAGAATTTTTTACTCATTTTTCAAGACTTGGTAACCCATGCATTATGGAGTTGTTTAAAGATGGTTTCCATTTTTCACCCGGCACATAGAGCTTTTGCAATCACTAATTGTCCGTCATCTGTTCAATGCAAAAGTTTCTTAACTTTTACAAAATTGTTCTCCTCTGAAACAACTGGGCCAATGGGGTGTCTTGTTTAAAAAGTGTGTCTATTGTTCCCACCTGCCAACCAACATGGCTATCAAGGTTTAAAAATAGAATACACGGTAAGATGAAAGTATTGTGTATTATCTTCAAAACCCTAATAGACAGAGAAAATTTACAAGGCCCACATTGTTCAAGATCTACCTACCATCTAATTTTACCAAAAAACCCCTATGAGTTATGTCCCATAAATGATTTTTTATACGACCGCAAAAAAATTTTTGTGGTCGTATATTGGTATGACGTTGGCGTCGTCGTCGTCGTCGTCGTCCGAATACACATTAGTTTTCGCACTCTAACTTTAGTTTAAGTAAATGGATCTCAATGAAATTTTACCATAAGGTTCAATACCACAAAAGGAAGGTGGGGATTGATTTTGGGGGTTATGGTACTAACAGTTAAGGAATTAGGGGCCAAAAAGGGGCCAAAAATAAGCATTTTTGTAACTTCCAGACATAACTTGTGTGTAAGTATATGGATCTCTCTGACATTGTACCACAAGGTTCCATATCACAAAGGGAATGCTGGGATTGATTTTGGGGGTAATTGCCTCCAAATTTTAGGAATTAGGGGCCAAAAAGGGGCAAAAAACAAGCATTTTTCTAGTTTCATGACAATAACTTGTGTGTAAGTGTATGGATCTCTCTGACATTGTATCACAAGGTTCCATATCACAAAGGGAATACTGGGATTGATTTTTGGGGGTAATTTCCTCCAAATTTTGGGAATTAGGGGCCAAAAAGGGGCAAAAAACAAGCATTTTTCTAGTTTCAGGACAATAACTTGTTTGTAAGTGTATGGATCTTTATGAAATTGTACTGCAAGGTTCCATATCACAAAGGGAAAGCTGGGTTGGAGTTTGGGGGTAATTGCCCTAAACGTTTAGGAATTAGGGGCCAAAAAGGGACAAAAAAACAAGCATTTTTCTAGTTTCCAGACAATAACTTGTGTTCAAGTGAATGGATCTCTCTAAAATTGTACTGCAAGGTACCATACCACAAAGGGAAAGCTGGGATTGAGTGTGGGGGCGATGAATCATAAGGGGGTTAAAAAAATTGGGGGGGGGGGGGGGGGTTTTTTCCTTTTTTTTCTTTAAAATTTTCCATTTTAAATTGGTTATTTCTGATTTATATATAAAAGCAAATAATAATGATATGGTTTGAATAGCATACATGTGAACCTCCCGACAGGAGTACAATAATCCTGTTTTCAGGAGTCTCCTCCCGACCTCCGGTTGAAGAGGAAAATTATAATCCTGTGTATAAAATTTTTCATGAATGAAAAATTTCTGCCCAACATATCATCTCAGGCATCTGGTGTAACTCACATTACCTGAAGTTATATTTTACCTGTAAATCAATTAACATGCATAATTATATGGCTTCACTTGTCAGCTTGGGTGTCAAACATACTGGTAATCAACGATTTTTTACCTCAGGCTAACTGCCGTTGTGTAACAAAAACTGTGTATTTATTGGGTTACTTCCCTTGATTTATCCTGTTTTAAGTTACTTTCCTTTTAATAATGAAAATTTTTAAAAGAATATAAATAAAATATAAATTGAACAAATAATCATAAAAGGATGGTAAATAAATGATTTTAAATGTCTTAGGACAAATAAAAAAATAATAATTTGAAAATTATTTGAGGATTCTATACTTCCTTTCAAGGCTTAAATTGAAATTTATATAATAACTATGACCCTTGTTTTACAGTTAGAATGATTTTCTGAGTATGCAAACAAAAGCTATTTGCAGATAGTTAAACAAATGTTCTGGTTGCAATAAATGTTTTATAGAATATGAAGTAAAAAATTTAAAGAACATACTGAAAAAAAAAAATGTTAGATTGAACATGTAAAATATAAAGATGGAGATACTTTATAAGTACAAGGGTACTATAAACATAATAAATTGGATGGAAAGTTGAAGAAAACACACTTTAAAAGACCATTTTTACAGCACACGGTTACATTTACGACAAAATTTATGTCGATTAAAAACCTCCTGATCTGAGTCCTAATCTCCTGACCAAAATTTCCCAATCTCCTGATCTGAGTTTCACAGTCCATCACATATATGAATAGGTAAATTAAAAAATTATAAGTTCTTAGACCACTTTCATTCTGTGTCAGAAACCTATGCTGTGTCAAATATTTAATTACAATCCAAATTCAGTGCTGTATCAAGCTTGAATGTTGTGTCCATACTTGCCCCAACTGTTCGGGGTTTGACCTCTGCGGTCGTATCAAGCTGCGCCCCAGCGGAGCATTTTATTTTATTCCGATTTTGGCTATAATCTTTAGAGTAAAACTGTTAATGGAAAAATGATAAAAAGGATAAGATCTACAATTAAATCAACATAGTCAAAGTCATCAGTCAATGTCTTATAGGAGTTATTGCCCTTAAAAACACTTTTTATCTGTTCTGTGGTTTGTTTTATTTTAAAACTTTAGTAGATTAGGAGAAACTGTATATAGCAAAAATTAACAGCTGGACAAGATCTAATATGTTAAAATGGCCTAAATTGTCAATTGACTCCTTATAGGACCTATTGCCCTTGAATGAGAATTGTTTACCCCTTTTTATGTTTTGCAGAAATTGTAGTAAAGGCAAAAACTGTAATGGGAAAAATTATCAACAGGACAAGATTACCAAATAAGTTACATGACCAAAGTTGTCAGTTGACTCCTTGTAGGATTTATTGCCCTTGAAAGACACTTGTTCACAAATTGTTTGTGTTTTTATTTATTGCAGATTATAGTAGATTGAAAGCTGTATTATGCAAAAATGACCTGCAAGACCAGGTCTCCTTTTGTCAACATTTCCAAAATTGTCCGTTGAATCCTTATATGACTTATTGCATTTGATGACAATTTTTGTCTCGCCTGTTGCAGAATGCGAGACATAAGGATTACTAACTGGTGTAGGCGTTATGAACTATTTTTTATAAAGCTTTATATTTCAAACCTAGTATACAGATGCCTTATGTAAAGTTTTTTGTCTTTCAGATGTCCATTGTTGTCCTTGACCTCA